AATGATAGAAGCTTATAATACAAGTGTTTTAGGCCATTCTCTCTTTGCTATAAAGAAATACCTGAGACTGGGTAATTTATGAGAAAAGAGGTTTAATTGGCTCATGTTCTGTAGGCTGTACAGAAAGCATAAGCAGCATCTGCTTCTGGGAGGCCTCACAAAGCATCCAATCATAGCGGAAGGCAGGGGGAGCAGGCAGGTCACATGGTAAAAGCAGGAGCAAGAGCGAAGGAGAAGGTGCCACAGACATTTAAATGATCAGATCTCACAGGAACTCACTATCATGAGAACCTTACTAAGGCAGATGATGCTAAACCATTCCTGAGAAAGCCATCCCTATGATCCAATCACATCTCACAAGGCCCCACCTCAAACATTGGAGATTACCTTTCAATATGAGATTTGGGTGAGGACAAACATCCACATTATACGAACAGCATTTAATTATTACATTTTGAGTTACAATTATGTTTTTAAGAAAGAAGAATATAGGTAGATATTTAAATTTTAAAAGAAGTTGATACTTCATCTTGGCCTCAAAAGATGGGAGGAATTTGGACAGATGAAGAGAAAAAGGGAATGATATTCCTGGATAGAAAAACTGATTAAGGTAGAGAACAAGAATGACCTCTGGGGTCTGAGAATAACAGTATACATGACTGACTTGGTAGGGAGAGGCCAGCCATAGATAGGTTTGAAATCTAGGCAGAAAAAAGTGGACCAGAGGTGACTGGAATTGGTGAATCACTGTGTGTGAATATATGTGTGCCTGTGTGTATCATTTGTAAAATTAAAGAAATTTTTTTCCAGCCTTATTATGTAGATTAAATGGGATAAAGAGTGTAAAGCACTTATCCCATTTCCTGGCCGGAATTAAGCAGTCACTAATTAGTAACTATTATTACTATATTAATCATAACAGCAGAGAAGATCTGCCTTGAATTAAAAAAAATTATTTTTATATGTATAAATTTATGGGCCCCAAATTTAATTTTGTTAAATGCATAGATTGTATAGTGGTAAAGTCAGGACTTTTAGGTTATTCATCACCCAAATAAAATACATTGTGCCCAATAGATAATCTCCCATCATCTACCCACTCCTGCCCCCTCGCCTGAACAAGTTTTTCTTGTCTATCATTTCATTCCCTATGCCCATGTGTACATATTATTTGGCTCCTACTTGTAAGTGGCTTTCTGTGTCTGACTTGCTTCACTTAATTTGCCTTGAATTTTTAATTTGGATAAATAGACTTATTCTGGGTTATCTATACCAGGTCTACCTAATTTGTCTTTACACAGTTGAATATAGTTTAACCAATAATACTATTGAAGAAGATAAATACCTATGATCTTACATCAAAATGATCAGACCTCACATACACTCCAGCAAAGAAAATGTGTTACTTTAATGGCATCACCACTGACAGAGTTAAAAATAATCACATGAAAAACTTTTCAGACTATTTCAATAAAAATGTGCTATTTGCAACTCTACAGAATCCAGTTACAGTTTTATGATTCCCTATGGAAGATATTTCACTAAAACTCAGTTGTTATAAAAACAGGCATTTCCCAGAGGGCTAAACAGAGAAGGCATAATAACCTCTGCAAGGTCTTCTATAAACTTCAAAGGTATGAGAATGCCAGAAGGTTTTTGTTTCACTTTGTTTTGGGGTTTTTTGGTGATGATAGGGGAGGCAGAGTATAAATAAAATGTAACTCAAGAAACTTTCAGTTCTTTAACATTAAAAAAATCCATCTTAGTGTACTGATATTGTTAGCACAATGTATTCCACGCTAACTATTCTTCAAGCTGTTTATACAAGTTAATGGTGCAACTTATAATTAAATATTATTCTAGATGAAGAAAATGAAGTCAAAGTTCTAAATAAGCTAGATGTGGATGGAGAAGTCTGAGCCACAGGGCGTCTGCAGAAAGAAGGACTAAAACAGGGGGAAAGAAGAGAGGAACAGAAAGCAAAAACAGAGGAGAAAAACATGATTCGAGTCCTTTGAAGATTTTAGAATCAAGAGTTTGAATTTTAAAATAAAGTAGAAGCCAGTTAAATTCATGTACGCATTTTGCATTATTGCTTATGTTCACCAACGCAGCAAACATTGTGCAACAGCCTGGACCTGCTCCATCTAATTAACAGAAAGAAAGGTCACACACACACAGAAAGGTCACACACACACAGAAAGGCACTACTTTTGTTGCTTCATAGCTGGGTTAATCTTTTAACAGAGTCTTATATTTTTCTAATTCCCTTTGCCCTTAAACCTTGGAATTAACCAGACTTCTAGCCATGTGTTCTCTCCTCTTTGTCTCCCTTCTCCTTCTCCCTGTGTCTGGGCCTGCAATTCCAGACATTCCATGCTACCTTCCACACCCCTTACACAATCATCCATCTTAACTCGGGCTTTGTGGCCAGAACCACTCTTACTTACCCTGTGGTCTTTGCAGCCTGCTGCCAAAAACACTTTCCCACCTTCGATGGACTTCATGCAACTCGTGACACACACTGAGTTTCTAGCAATAGAATTAACTTTGGGTGAAAGTGCATTGAGGTTTTTTGTTTGCTTTTTTTTTTTTTTTTTGAGACAGGCCTCACTCTGTCACTTAGGCTGGAGTTCAGTAGCGCTATCATTGCTCACTGCAGGCTCCAACTTCTGGGCTCAAGGTGAGGGAGGAGAATACAGACTGGAGAGTTCGTGCTGACCTTTTAAAGCTAAATTAAGGAAAAACACCAAGGTTGACTGGCAGGGAATCTGAGGTCAATTTGTGCTGACTTCCCAAAGCTGTATCAAAAGGAAAACACCTGGGTCTGGGGGCAAGGCACCTAAGGCCAATTAACAGCAACTTCTAGAAGCTAAACCAAAAGGAAAAACCCCTTCTCCCCACACCTGGGAGCAAAGATCAAAGGCTACTCTTCTGCAGCCCTCCCCCTTCGATGGAAAAGGAACGTGCCCTGGATTGGCTGCGGGCCAAGTGTGGGCCATCCCTTCATCTGCATTGGGCATCAATTCACAGCAGCCTTTAATTAGCCATTCGGATAAGGTGTAGCCACTAGAGGCTTCAAAAGGAGTACTTAAAACCCAGAAAGCTTTGTAACTGGGTCCTTACTTAAGGTAGGCAGGCCAACTCCCACCCTGCGGAGCGCTTTCTTGCTTTAGTAAATCCCTGCTTTCGCGGCTTCGTTCCTATTTCATTCCTTTGTTACTTTGTGCGCTTTGTCAGACAACTCATACTCGACCTTCCTTCTGGTAACAAAGGGATTGGCTTACCTCAGCCTCCCAAGTAGCTGGGACTAAAGGAGCACGTCACCATGCATGGTTGATTTTTAAGTTATCTAGACTCAGGCTCAAGCGACCTGTCTGCCTTGGCCTCCCAAAGTGTTGAAATTACAGGTGTGAGCCACCATTCCTGGCCTGCACTGAGTATTTTGAGGGTTAGTCACTATTTGCCGTTCCAGTTGGCAGAGTACACAATGACAAGCTATGCTCCTTGGGCATTTTAGTTTACAGTTTAGATATTGTGAGACACAAGTGTCAACTCTTGCTTTTTCTTGAGGACAATTAGCTAAAAACTAGTTGTGAACAGTTCATTTTGGTTTGGATCATTTGCTCAAGTGGAAAAAGCCGGCCTTCAACCTTCCAGGTCAGTTACCTCTCTGCAAGCTCTCCAGCCCTGCCATAAAATGAAACCGTTTGCAGTAGTTGCTACCTCATAGCTTGCTTGGCACCTGCTTTACTGGGCTTGCTCCAGTTGATGCCTTCAGGGGTCAGGTGAAGTTCGCATTGCATAGGGACTGGGATCTAGGCATGGTTTCCATCTCACTGGGGCAGGCAGATACTGAGCACAGAGGACCTGGGTGGTGACTGCACAGCGGCAGAGCAACCACGACATGCTCTTGGAAACAAAAATCATTGTTGAACACTGAAGTATATGTAAAAGTACTTTTCCCCTTTGAATCAAGAATATGATCATGAACCTTAGCAAAACAAAGCAATGGTGCTAACTCCGTCTTCTAAACATCAGCCCTGAAACTGAACCTGAACCTGCTATTAAATTGGGCTAAAATGTTTGTACAGCAAGTGGATTCATTAAAACTGTTCATTGCTATAATCTCTGTTCTGGCTTTATCCCAGAGATTTCCAATGCTTCCAGCAGCTTTGGAGTTAGTAACTCTGATACGTTTGCATCTGACTTCTGACCTAAACTTTAGTATTATGTTCAGCTGTTCTTTGATAGGGAATCCAACAGCTGCTGTTTAATACCACAGACAACTTGTGACACAGGCTGAGTTTCTAGCAATAGGATTAATCTACCAATGTGGGGCTCTGATTTGCAGCTGGCCATAATTTTCCTGCACAGGAGGTGGGGTTAGGGAATGAAAATCAAGCCTGAAATATAGTGCTTTCCTTTTGTTTTTTTTTAATTGCAGCAAAATATATATATCATAATAACCTTTAACCAAACAAAAAACATTTTCTTGCTGCAACTAAATTAAGGCAAAAGCAAAGTATTTTGCTTTCTCATGGTATTGATAACTGAGCTTGAAAACCCTGCTTCATGGAGTAGGATAGTCACAAAGAAAATCTGAAATGATAGCTATCTATTCATAAATGCTGGTTGAAATATTTTTTAAAATATCCCTTAAAAATCTGAGGCTCTGAGATAATGCGGCTATTCCATATAAACTTCATTTGGCAAAAAGCAGATTAATCTAAAAATGGGTTTTAAGCAATTTGAGAGTTAATCCCAAAACAAATACCCAAACCTTCTTAAAGTACACTTGTGATAGTTTTCTTTGCATGAGAGAGATTTCAAAATTCTTCAAAAGATTGATATCCAGGTCAATGACTTACTAGTTTCAAAGTCCATGTTTGTAATTGCATAGTTTCGGTGGCAAAACTAATTTGGGTTGTCAGGATGTAATTTTTTTTCCATTTCTTATCAGACATCAGCTGATAGGGAAAGAGCTTGAAACTGTCCTCCACATTTAAGATAACAGCAAAAAATAACACGCACTTAGTGTTACCATACTAGGGGTGTGGCAATTTTCTTTCGTTCGCTCCTCTCTGTCTCTCACGATAAACTCAATGAGGTTGTCTATTTTTAACCTCCTGTTCTTTCCTTTTGGCAGAGTAATCAGTGTGAGCTGAGCTCTTTCCCTGAATGAATCTAAGTAACCCTGGTGGTTGCCTTCTGAAATGACCAGCAGACACACAACTGTCCAGAGGCTGCCCAAAGTATAAACTCTGGTTCTAAAGTACCATGTCCAGCCAAGGAAGTCCTAGTGTGGAGTTTTCTACGACGACAGTCAGTTCAGTCGCTGTGCAGGCTGGGGACTCCAAAATCGTTATAGCTGTCATAAAGGTAAGCTAACAACTTCCTTTTTTCCTGTGTGGCTGTGGGCTTCTAGCTGTGTGCTGAAAACCCTAAAGAACATTCCATGCAGTCAGCAGGACACAGCATAGAGAAGATAATGCAGCCAGCACTCTTATTGCTTTCTTAAATCGGCTACTAAGAGAAACCTCTAAGTTTCAGCAATTACCAGAGAATCTCTTTCCTTTCAGTCAGCAAGAAAGCATCTATAGCAGCTTGATTTAAGAAAGAAAGAGAAGAGAAAGAGAGAAAGAGGGAAAGAAAGAACCTCTAGCATATTCTATACTATCAATTTGGTCTTTAAAAGTAAGGCATTGGTGATTGGAAGTTTGTGATTGCCTGAGTAAAAAGTCCAATGGACCCGTGAACTGCTTATGATTTTTGAGAGTGGATGTGATGGAGGTGGGAGGAGGCAGGTCCTGACCGACAGTGGGAGGGCACACTCTTTTAAGCATGAGAGAACTCAGAAAACACCTAGTAAAGGGCTCTGACATGTTCCCTTTGCAAGACTGGTTTTGCCATGGTAAAAACACTACTAAATCCTTGTCCAGTAATGAAGACCCTGCAAGGAAAGGTACAAAAAGTTTGTGCCAAATTTACTCTTAACAGCAGGAAGTAGAAGCCACTTAGGGTTTATGATTATTGCATGTTTATGACAAGCCATTTGCCCATTTGCAAAGATGGCCACACATCTTTAGGCTGGACAAGATATCCATGATTTTATTCTCCATGGAAATGCCCTACAAAAACCTCTCAAGCACTAGCCTTGGGCATTAGATGATGTTCCACCTAAATAATTCAGTGTTTAATGAAGCGAAACCTGGCAAACAAGCTGGTGGCCACAAACCAGTTACTTTCAGTAAGCCCACCAGGCTTAATTGAATGATTTTTCTGACCTTTTGTTAGAGCATGGACAACAAGCCATGTTTAATTTAACTTAATTGCTGTGAATTTTATGGTAATGTGAAAATTCATAACAGGAAAACAGCACCTGACATTGAGCAAAAGGATTCACTATAGAAGGACAGAATGGAAAGCGTTCCTACCCAAGTGGATTTTCTCGTGTTGTGAGACTTATCTCCCACGTGAACCAGACCTCTGCTGACTTCCTTACCCTCCCGACTTTTCATAGTCCCGGAGTGCGGATGAAAAGAAGCCTGAGGCAGAAGTCGTGCAAACGGATCACTTGCATGGGATTGATACTTTGAGTAACTGCAGATTTCAGCAATGAGGGAAAAGAGGCAAACTCACTATTTCTCAAAAGGTTAACATTTCCTCAAACATGAAACATTCTTGGAACAGAAGGAGGAGTAGTATTAGAAGATAAATTACAGAAAAATCAGAGGTAGATTGAACACAAAAAGTTACACTGGAAAATTACACAGGAAGCTCTTATTTTAATTGAATTGTATCTCTAAGAACGTTGCCTCAGTACCCCCTCCTCAGCTCTCTTACTTTTCTGTCATATCCATACAAAATATATCCCAAGCAATTCAGAGTAGAGGGTCCATTTTAATGGAATAGAAGTGCCTGTGTCTGATCTATAGTGACTTTGCAAACTGTCTCAGGGGACTGATTATATTCTAAAATAGAAACACATTTTTTGAATTTCTCTTTGGTAATTCATGTATCTACATGCACAGGCCTGTTAGTGGTTCCTTTTGCTTAATGAGTTGTTGCTTCTTAGAAAAGCAATTCCTCAGGAAATGCAATGACAAATTGTGTCTTAGAGCAGTGTAAATCTTGTATAGAAAGCAAGTTGAGTGTGCTCAAATGGCAGTTGTCACAGGCATCTAATTTTGTTAATATTTTCCTGCATACTTTAATGAATATTCAGCAACTAAGTTTGGAAAACAGTATATTTTTCCCAAACATACTGTGTTTGGAAAAACATACAGTTGTGTAAATTATTCTGTAACTTTGTAATATTCAGTAATACATAATCCATTGTATGTTTTCCTCATTTGAGAATTTTTAACTTGAGTCCAATATGCCAAGAGAGAATAATTTATCCTAAAAATAAAGAAAAGGCAGGGTATGGATTTATACTAGATCTGCTGTGTTTCAAATTAAGTAAGCCCATCTCTATGGAAAGAATAAAGTGTTTATAGTATAACTGGAAATTTAGAAGATATATTAAAAATGAGAAGGGTGAAGAGGAAGAAACAAGAGGAACTAAAAGTGCATTTTATTTCATTTTTATTTTTAGTGTGGCAGATGGGTACAGCTTCAACTGGCTGAATCACAGCCCAATCTTCTAGAAATTGGCTGCAGTCAGGATGAAAGCAAAAAACTTCTTCATGATCATGAACTTCTTTTGGCCAAGCTCAAGGTAAGATACTAAGATGTGAAGCAGAAACAAAATTAAAGAGAAATAAAATACTATTTCTTAAACTTTTTGATTCCTCTGCTGTTACTGACCTAGGGCCACTTTAATATGGTATCAGGTAGATAATGGGAAAATCAGTAGCTTTTTATGAACAAACAGCATCAGAGAGAAGTAGTAAGATTTTAAAAAAATTTTCCCTAATGTAATAGAAAATATGGAGTGATAATATTTTCCCTGTGGAGAAGTAAGTAATTTTTTTCCTGGCTGGCTCAGTGGAAAAAACTCCATCATTTTTTCATTTCATGCATTACACCATCAAGTCACAAAAACAGATCCACAATTTCTATTGTTAATACCTGCTGGTAAAAATAATTTAGAAGACTTTTTCCCTCTGTTGGACTATTAAAAATATCTGAGCCTGTGCTTAGTATTAAAAGTTCTTGAAACCAAATAATACTTTTAGTAAAACCAGACCTATTGTTCCACATATGTTGAGAGTATTTAGTTAGAAATCTAAAAGTAGCATTGGTTTGAGATTGTCAGATAAAGGCCAGGTAAGATCAGGGCCAGCTACATAATTTGTAAGACCCAGGGCAAATAAAAATGTGGGGCCACTTGTTCAAAAAGCAGGGAAAAGCTTTCCCTTGATGTGTCATGGTGCTTTTTTTAATTTTTTTTTTTTTTGAGATGGAGTTTTGCTCTTGTTACCCAGGCTGGAGTGCAATGGCGCGATCTCAGCTCACCCGCAACCTCCGCCTCCTGGGTTCAGGCAATTCTCCTGCCTCAGCCTCCTGAGTAGCTGGGATTACAGGCACGCACCACCATGCCCAGCTATTTTTTTTGTATTTTTAATAGAGACTGGGTTTCATCATGTTGACCAGGATGGTCTCGATCTCTTGACCTCATGATCTACCTGCCTCGGCCTCCCAAAGTGCTGGGATTACAGGCTTGAGCCACCGCTCCCGGCCCATGGTGTTTTTTTATTCACTACTTAATGTCTGGCTCCTTCATGTTTAAGAAAAGTACAGACCCTCACAGGTGCATGGCCTCGCCCATGACTCAGTGAAAAGGACATGGGCCTGACCCCACCCTTCTCCAGCTGCACATTGGCCACAGCTCCAGCTATAGGAGGTGGCAAGTTATTGAATGGGGACTGTCCTGAGGAACAACTGACTGTCCTTTCTGCTTCTCAGCCCCATTCTGTAACTGTTGCCACCTCCTATACCCAGGAGATAGGACCACATGTCTAATGAGGTGCCAAGCTTTCAGCACTTGCTCTGTTGTCCCATTGGACTTTATTTGCAAAACAAATTTAAAGAATTTCAACACAGGAACAGATACAACATTAAGCCCTAAATCGTGTTCCATTCTGAGGAACCTCTGAGGGAGCCAGCCCTGTGAATGATAACCTCATAGACAAATGAAATGTTTTCACTAAGATCAAAGAAATTTAATGAGGATTCAGAGAGAGGATGCTCTGCATTTTTAGTACTTTAATATTACTGTCCTCTTTGTACATCTAGGCTGAAATTCATACTTACTATCTAGATTTAGAAGCAGATTTGATCTGCATCTGATATATAGACAGTGGTTTTCTGCTTGGGCAGTGGTAAAAGAAATTGAGTAAATGAAACCAAGAAGTTGAAGAAAGAATTAGTATTAACAAGAAGGCCCTTACAATGCAGAATTTATTCCTCTTTTGACAGCTTCTTACTCTGGGATCTAGATTGTCTTGCAAAGCAGAAAATCCTAGTTATTGCTAAGTCTTTTGTAGGTAGAAAAACCCCATTATGATGTGAAAGAGCATTGAACCAGGAATCTACACCTGTTGTTTAGCTCAAATTATGTCACAAACTAGTGTGATTTGGTCAACAACTCAAGGTCTTCCTGCTACACAAAAAGCTGTGTAAACTTGTCAGGAATCCCCAATTCCATGAACTGTAGAAACAATTCTTCATAGAAGTTTCTGTGTATTCCCAGAAGTTTGCTTTCTCATGATGTCTTGTGTCCCCAGCTCCTTTGTATGCACCTGCCAACTATTTTTGCTGAAGCTTACCTGATCTTGAAACTACATTTTTCCCCCAATTTCCACTAATAATTCATGCTCAGCCACCATTTCCTAGTCCACTGATAAATTGTGGGTAGTGCTGGTTGAGCTCACATCAGTTTGCAGCTCTTGAAAAAGCTCACTTCTCCCTTCATCCCTTTTCCATCCAGGACTACAAAAGGGAAATGCCTTCTAAGATGCGGCAGTTCAGCTCCTGCCTCCTACCCTGTGCTCAGATTTGCATACCTGAATCCATCTAGTAGCTCAGCTATAAAGAGTTTTCCTGTAGTATAGTTTAAAGGATAGAGTGATGCCTCCACAATCATCGTTTTGCTTAGGATTGCCTTGGCAATTCAGGTTCTTTTTTGGTTCCATATGAATTTTAAAATAGTTTTTTTTAATACCGTGAGGAATGTCAGTGGTAGGTTAATGGGAACAGTATCGAATTTATAAATTGCTTTGGTCAGTATGACCATTTTTACGATATTGATTCTTCCTATCCACGAGCATGAAGTGTTCTTCCATTTGTTTGTGTCATCTCCGATTTCTTTGAGCAGTGGTTTTTAGTTTCCCTTAAAGAAGTCCTTCACTTTTCTTGTTAGTTGTATTTCTAGATATTTTATTCATTTTGTGGCAGTTGTGAATGGGAGATTATTTGTTATTTGGCTCTTGACTTGCCTGTTGTTCATGTGTAGGAATGCCAGTGATTTTTGCACATTGATTTTGTATCCTGAGACTTTGCTGAAGATGCTTATTAGCTTCAGAAGCTTTTTGGCTGAGACAATGGGGTTTTTCCTATATCCTTAGATATAGGATCATGTCATCTGCAAAGATAATTGTACTTCCTCTCTTCCTATTTGAGTGTCCTTCATTTTTTTCTCTTGCCTGATTGCCCTGGCCACAACTTCCAATACTATGTTGAATAGGAGTGGTGAGAGAAGGCATCCTTGTCTTGTGCTGGTTTACAAGAGGAATGCTTCCAGCTCTTGCGCATTCAGTATAATATTGGCTGTGGGTTTGCCATATATGGCTCTTGTTATTTTGAGGTATGTTCCCTTAATACCTAGTATATTCAGAGTTTTTAACATGAAGTGAAACTGAATTTTATCAAAGACCTTTGGTGTGTCTGTTGAGATAATCATGTGGTTTTTGTCTTTAGTTCTCTTTATGTGATGAATCACATTAATTGATTTGCATAAGTTGAACTTGCATCTGGGGAATGAAGCCTACTTCATTGTGGCAGATGAGCTTTTTGATGTGCTGCTGGATTTGATTTGCTAGTATTTGGTTGAAGATTTTTGCGTCAATGTTCATCAAGTCCTGAAGCTTTCTTTTTTTGTTGTATCTCTGCCAGGTTTTAGCATCAGGATGATGCTGGCTTCATAGAATAAGTTAGGGAGGAGTCCCTCCTTTTCAATTTTTTGGGAATAGTTTCAGTAGGAATGGTACCAGCTCTTCATTATACCTCTGATAGGATTTGACTGTGGATCCATCTGGTCCTGGGCTTTTTTTGGTTAGCAGGCTATTTATTACTGCCTCAATTTCAGAACTCATTATTGGTCTATTCAGGAATTCAATTACTTCCTGGTTCAGTCTTGGGATGGTGCATGTATCCAGGAATTCTTTTTTTCTAGATTTTCTAGCTTATGTGTATAGAGGTGTCTATAATATTCTCTGATACTTGTTTTTATTTTTGTTGGGTCAGTGGTAATATCCCCCTTATCATTTTAGATTGTGTTTATTTAATTATTCTGTCTTTTCTGCTTTATTAGTCTTGCTAGTGGCCTGTGGTATTATTTTTTTCAAAAAACTAGCTTTTTGGATTCATTGATTTTTTTTTTGAAGGGTTTTTTTGTGTGCATGTGTCTCTATCTCTTTCAGTTCAACTCTGATCTTGGTTATTTCTTGTCTTCTGCTAGCTTAGTGGTTTGTTTGCTCTTGATTTTATAGTTCTTTTAGTTGTGATGTTACGTTGTTAACTTGACATTTTTCTAGTTTTTTAATGTGAGTGTTTAGTGCTATAAATTTCCCTCTTCATACTGCTTTAACTGTATCCCAGAGATTCTGGTCCATTGTATCTTGGTTCTCATTAGTTTTAAAGAACTTCTTAGGCTGGGTGCAGTAGCTGACGCCCACAATCCCAACACTTGGTAAGGCTGAGGTGGGCAGATCACCTGAGATCAGGAGTTTGAGACCAGCCTGGCCAACATGGCGAACACCCATCTCTAAAAATGCAAAAATTAGCCAGGCATAGTGGTGCACACCTGTAATCCCAGCTACTTGGGTGGCTGAGGCAGGAGAATTTCTTGAACCCTGGAGGCAGAGGTATGCAGCGAGCTAAGATCCTCAGAGACAGAGCAAGACTGTCTCAAAAAAAAAAAAAAAAAAAAGAACTTCTTGAGTTTTGCTTTAATTTCATATTTACCTAAGAGTCATTTGGGGGCACATTGTTCAATTTTCATTTAGTTGTATGCTTTTGAGTGAATGTCTTAATCCTGAGTTCTAATTTGATTGTGCTGTTGTCTGAGAGACTGTTATGATAACAGTTCTTTTGCATTTGCTGAGGAATGTTTTACTTCTGATTATATGATCAATTTTAGAGTTAGTGCCATGTGGCAGTGGGAAGAATGTATGTTCTGTTGTTCTGGGGTGGGCAGTTCCATAGATAACTATCAGGTCCACTGATCCAGAGCTGTACTCAGTTCTGGATCTGAGCCAAATATCTTTTTAAATTTTCTGTTGATGATCTAATATTGTCAGCGTAGTGTTAGAGTCTCCCACTATCATTGTATGGGAGTCGAAGTCTCTTTGAAGGTCTATAAGAACTTGCTTTATGAATCTTTACATATATATGTATGTACCCAATATATATCGGGTACATATGTTTAGGATATTCAGCTCTTCTTGTTGAACTGAACTTTTTACCTTTACGCAATGCTCTTGTCTTTTTCAGTCT